GGGGACAGCTATTATATGGGCAAGGTTGAAGGGCCAAGGTGTGGGGCTTTGTGTAAATATTTTGTGGGATAATAGAGTTGTATGGCTGGGTTCTAATGACCCTTCCTCCCTGCTCCAGGCTGCTGTCTGGGAACAACTGCAGTTGTGAGTCCAGTGGGGGGAGCCTTCACCTCCCCTTCCAGAGGCAGGTCCAAGCCATTGACTTCACTAAGGCCTTTGAGCCTGAGGAGCTGAAAGCTGCCTCTGCCTCTAGGGAGCAGGAGTTCCAGGCCTTCCTTTCAAGGTACCAGCATGAAAGGAGGGCATGACTCTGCAGATGGAGAGCAGTGGGAGGCCTGGAGGGTAGGCGTGACAGGAGGGAGAGCATCTCTCCCACAGACTCTTCCTCTGTTCTCTCCCTCCTCCACTGCCAGAAGCCAGTCTGCTGCTGACCAGCTGCTTATTGCCCCTGCCAACTCCCCCCTACAATATCCTCTGCAGGGTGTGGAGGTACAGCCCCTCAGGAGCATCTTGGTGCCAGGTGGGGAGAATTGTCCCAGGGTATGACCTAAGCCACTGTGGGCATGGCACGGCTCAAGGTTGGGTGGAGAAGAATGAGGGAAAAGTGGACTGGGAGGCGGGGGACTTCTGATGAAAAGGGGACTTAAAGTCAGAAAGGGACTCATCAGGTAGGCGATAGGGACAGAAGGGACTATTGGGTTGTTAGGAATTGCAGAAGACTGTAACTGAGATTTGGGGGAAAGAATCTATTCTTTGCAGACTGACAAAAGGGTAGGTGGGTTGGTAGGGCAGGCCATAGGAGAGCTACTGCTTTGTTAGGAAGGAGTTAAAAATCAGTTACTCTAGGCTATGTCCTACAATGTGCCCAGCTGCTTCAGTAAGAGGAATGGGTGAGAAGTTCTGTGTTACGTGTGATGAAAAAGGGAAGAGAACGTGAGGAAGAATTTAAGGCTGTCTGTGATTCTAATCCCACTCCTCCCTTTCAGGGCTGAGTCTGCATCCTGCTTCTGGTCAGGAGGTATACCAGGTGAGAAGAAACAAGGAGGCCAGGTGGGCATCAAGGTTGCTGGGAGGGAAACAGGGCTGTCAAAAGAGGGATGGAGGAATCAGGGAGGCAAGAGGTAGGTCTGGGGGCTAACTCTGCACTCTCCAATCCCATCTCCCAGGTGAACCTGACGGCCTCCTTGGGCACCTGGGATGTTGCAGGGGAAGTGACTGGAGTGACTCTCACAGGAGAGGGGCAGCCAGATCTCACCCTCACCAGCCCAGGGCTGGACCAACTCAATCGGCAGCTGCAACTGGTCACTTATAGCAGCAGGAGTTACCAGGCAAACACAGCAGACACAGGTGCGAGGCCTGAGTGGACACAGGGGCAGGCTGGATGAACAGAGAGAACCCAGAAAGGCTGGAGCTGGCAAATGGCAAAGGGTGTGGGAGATACTCGGCAACGGCCAGAGCTGCCCAGCTACACAATGGGCATTTCAGCTAGGCCAGCAGGACCAGGGAGGGAGAAAAGGGGCCTTTGTTCATCTGGGGCCAGAGCAGGCCAGAGGGAAACCCGAACCGTGGGTGTGTCCCCTCTTCAGGCCAACCATGGGGGCCCCAAGAAGTGACCTGCCCCTGGAGCCAGAAGACTCAAGCTCTATTCCTAGTCCACCAAAGCAAAGGGCTTTATCTTCCAAATCTCCCATTTCTCTTTAGCAAAAGTGGCATAACAGCCCACCTGTTTCTCTCCAAGCCTTGCTACACCAAACCTGCTCCTACTTTATGTCTTTGCACTTGCTGTTCCCTCTACCTAGAATGCTCTTCCCCCAGATTTTTGCATGGCTGGCTCTTTCTTTCTTATCATTTGGATCTCAGCTCAAATGTTTCCTCTTCACTCTCCCATTACTTGTCTTATTTTCTATTCACTATTTACCAGTATCTGAACTTCCTTACTTAGTTAACCTAGAACCAGACTGACTAGGTTCCTATCCCAACTTTGTTGTTAAATAGTTGTATAAATGTAACAAGTTACTCAATTTCTCTGTTCTTTCTTTTTCTGTAGTAAGAATCTACTTAATAGAGCTATTATGAGGATTAAATGAGTTCATATATTTAAGGTAAATTAAAAATTACCTGGCACATAGTAAATGCTCAATAAATGTTAGCCTTTATTTAATCTTTTTCTTGTCTTTCTCCAACCCACTGGAATATTAGTTCCATGGGAGTAAGAACATTGCGTTCTTGTCCACCAAGGCCTAGAAAGATGATACTCAGAGTAAGCACTTAAATATTGATTTACTGAAAAGAGAATGTTGTCACAGCCTTAATGACCACATCTTTTTCCCTTTTTTCCCAGTACGATTCTCTACTGAGGGATATGAAGCCGCCTTCACCATTCGTATAAGACATCCCCCCAACCCTCGGCTATACCCACCTGGGTCTCTACCCCAGGGAGGTGAGGTTGGTGCATGCAGGGAAGTAGATGCAGCCCGGTGGGGAGCAAGTTGGGAAAGGGCTGCCCTGGGAGATGTCTTCCTGTGCCTCACTCCCCCTTCTCCTTGTATGCCCCTAACCCTGCCCCTCGCTCCTAGCCCAGTACAACGTCAGCGCTCTGGTCACCATTGCCACTAAGACCTTTCTTCGTTACAATCGGCTGCGTGCACTCATCGCCAGCATCCGCCGCTTCTACCCGACCGTCACTGTGGTCATCGCCGACGACAGCGACAAGCCAGAGATCATTAGCGGTCCCCACATCGAGCACTATCTCATGCCTTTTGGCAAGGTGCGCAGAGAGAGCGAGGCTGAACTGCACGGGACCCCGAGGGCGCCGGGAGAGGGCACGCGCTCAGTCTGCAGTCTCCAGAGTAGTGATTCCAGGATTAACTGCCTCAAAATCTCTGGTGTGCCTGTTAAGCATGAGGCTTCCTGGAATGTAAACTCTGTGGGAGCAGGAATCGCGCCTATCTTATTCGAGCCGCATTCTTAGAATGGTGCTTAGCACCGAGCGGGTGCGCGATAAGTAGTTGAATGAAAGCCCGCAGGAATTAAATGCATTCCCAGACTCTCCCCAAGAAAATGACTCGGTATCTCTGACGGTTGGAAACTACATTTTTTATCTAGTTCCACACCATTCATAAGCATTTTAAAGTTCGGAGAGGGTCACAGGCTGTTGAGAAGGGTCAGGAGTAAGGAGGAAAGAGAGAGGAAGGGGTAGGTCCTACCTCTACAGCTTCAACCACATATACTCTTCTTCAGGGCTGGTTCGCAGGCCGGAACCTGGCGGTTTCCCAGGTAACCACCAAGTACGTGCTATGGGTGGACGACGACTTCATCTTCACGGCGCGGACGAGGCTGGAGAGGCTTGTGGACGTGCTGGAGCGGACGCCGCTGGACCTGGTAGGGGAGGAGTCGCAGGACAAAGAGGGCCTCCAGGAGGTTAAGACCACAGTCAGGGAGACCCAGCCGACAGCAGTCGGCCTTGGGACAAGAGAGGGTGAAGAAGCGGAGTCTGGGGGACTATCTGGGTCCTGCGGGGTTGGAGTGGAAAAGGACAGGGCAGGGGAACGGCCCCCGGGGCAGAGGTAGCAGAGACCTACCCCGCTTCCAGTTCCCGCTCCTCCTGGAACCTTCCTCCCACTCTCGACAGGTGGGGGGAGCGGTGCGCGAGATCTCGGGCTTCGCCACTACCTACCGGCAGCTGCTGAGTTTGGAGCCTGGCGCGCCAGGCCGCGGGAACTGCCTCCGGCAAAGGCGCGGCTTCCACCACGAGCTCCTCGGCTTTCCAGGCTGCGTGGTCACAGACGGCGTGGTTAACTTCTTCCTGGCGCGCACCGATAAGGTGCGCGAGGTGGGCTTCGATCCGCGCCTCAGCCGCGTGGCGCATCTAGGTGAGTGGCCCTCCCTCCCGCAGGGCCTCAGGGTCCCCGCAGGGTGCTGGGCGATGCTCCCCGCGGCAAGGCGCCAAAGGCCCCGGGTACTCCTTCCGGCCACACCCCTGCAGAGTCCACGAATGCCGCCCCGGGGCCTTAGAGCAGTTCTACGACTTACCAGGACAGTACTACGACTTACTTGCGCCCGGGCAAGAGCCAGAGCTCCCAACTCCCAGCACGCACACCATTTAAACCTTCATCCGCTGGGCCACCATGAGCTTCCCCACCACTACCCCACTCCCAGTCACTTCCCTTGGTTCAAACTAACTCTGAGCAGCTCATTCAGCATTTATTAAACCTGTAGGTGGGTGGGT